TAGTTTTGCTTCTTAGAAACTATACTCAATTACCCAGTTTTAGTATTTATCAGTTGGATAGAGTACTATCAAAGTCTGTCACATAACATATCATATATTTATTACAGTTCTTTGATTTAACCTCATTTTTTATGCCTTCTTAATTATCTGATTTTTAATCTAAATATATTCCTATAAATTGCTTGGAAATTTCTTTCTGTTAATCCCATAGCATCTCCCATCTGCATGTGTATTAAGGGCCCATATTATTTAGATGTTCTTTGAAACCTCCTCTCCCCGTTCATGTGTCACTTTTGCTAGTTGTATTGCACAGGCTTAGAGGTAGACTTCTTCCCTGTTGGTTGGGACATACTTTGTTCTTGCTCCAACAGCTTTGAACATGCTAAAGAACCAGGGGCCACCTCCTTAACAGAATGGTTAGCCAACTTAAAGATCATGCCTCATTCCACTAGTCCAGTAGTACCCACTATTGGGTGACCTCACTGAGTCTGAGTTTCTTCCTAAATATACTCTTATTTCTCCCTGTTTGGGGACTTAATCATATTGCACTAAAGTGGAGGAGAAGATGATTCAGCTCATTTGACACCTTGTGGAAGCAGCACTTCTTGGTGATCTACCACTTGAGACCCACAGCCCTTGCCCATGTACAGTCACTCTGTCTTGCCTCTGAGTAATTAATTCTGCCTCTTGTAGTATTTTACTCAGTGCTTACAGTACGATTTATTTCCAGCTTTTTCTCCAACTTCTCATGTTCGTTTTTATTTCTGATGTCTTACTGCGTGATTTCGCAGCACAGTCATTAGGTAATGGGTTAGACAGCCCTGGACCCAGGACCCTTCACTGCCCCACAAAACAAAATGCCCCTCTCCTGACAGGTGTGGTAGACTAGTGTACCCTGGCCCAGCAGCAAGAGAGGTTAACATCATTTTCCATAATATTTTTTAAAGTTTGGGAACCCTTCCTACTGATGATTCTTTCATTTCTTAGTTGTATGTAGAAGACTCAGAAGCCACAAATATAAACTACTTTCTAGAACTGGTGAAGTAGTAGATTTTGATCTATCAGAAAGAATCCTTTGCCATGATAGTCTCACTACGAGACAAATATTTTCAAATGCATCCCAGGGTTGGAAACCTTAATGAGTTCTAATAGCCAGGCAGCCACACTCCAGCAGGGTTCTAATTGACAGAGTAGAAAACGGCAGCAGGAAGGCCAGTGTGTCTTTGGGGAGCTGGCATACAGCACAGGACCGGCTGGGTGTCAGGCACCCAGCCAAATAAGTGCACCCAGCAATGTGGTGCCACAGTTGAGCTAGAAGCAGGTGTCTGTCGATGGGCTGCCAGTGGTCCAAGAGCCTCCTCCTCTGAAAGCACCATTATAAATGTCTGTGTATTTTTAAAAAAATTATAGTAGATGGATACAATACCTTTATTTTATTTTTATGTGGTGCTGAGGATCGAACCCAGCGCCTCACACGTGCTAGGCAAACATTCCACCAGTTGAGCTATAGCCACAGCCCTGTCTGTGTATTTTTTTTTAATCAAGCAAACTGCTCCAGTTTTCAAAAATATCCATGAATCATAGAAGGCTAAGAATCCCTTTTTACTAGATGGACAATAATCTGAACTTCCAAAATGGATAAAATATGTGGTTGGGCATTGATTCAACAAAACTGCTCAAAGGAAAGAGAATTAACACCTCTTGGATGCTAATTGTATACCAGAGACTCTTGGAGACCTTTCCCTTTAAGGTAACAGAGGAAGAATTTGAACCCAAGTCTTGCTCTAAAGCCCACATGCTTCATATACTGCATTACCTCTGTAAAGAATGAAAATGACTAACCATTAAAGATTAGTCAAAAATAAAGATAAGCAATCTTAAACAATGGGGAAATGTGATTTGTTGTCCAAAAATGTGACTTCAAAAAAAAAAWTTAAGAGCTTATTCGTGGAATAGAGATAGGTGATCCAAACCAGATGAGGGTCTCAAGTTCATGGGATGATCCAGGGTGCAGCCTTGAGAAGGGGCAACTCCTCCCCAGCAAAAGCGTCTCAAGAAATGAAGACAATGTCAATGGAACAGTTTTGAGGCCCCACTTCACTGTTCAGTCTCTCCTGAGTGAGATCATGTGTTTATGARCAGAAAGATTTGGTTGAACTAATTTAATTCCTCTTTTGCATCTCTGTACTAATTAATGACAGTTGTTTCACTTGTACATTTTATATTAAATTAGGTAAATTCTGCTATATTACCCTTCATCTCTGTTTGGACTTAAGTATTAATTCTTTTCATACAAGCTCTCTTAACAGAGTTAAGAAAATATTCCTGCCCACATAACTGATTGCTTAACTAGCCCCCTCCCCCTTCCAGGACTTCCTTCTTTTTGACTGTAAATCCTAAAGAACATTTTGGTCATTGTTTTCTGGGAAATATTAATTGGCATTATTCAGGGAACAAAAATAAATACAAATTTCTGGAGTTTTCTGTATCCTTTTTTGCCAGTCTATGTTACCTAAAACAATGTGATCATCTATTTGGAGAACTCTGGGGAGGCTGAGCAGGATTAATTCCTGTCCCTGTGTTGCAGTGTAAACAGCTTTTTGCCTGTCTTTTGTCATTAATGATCATGCTGTAGATGTAGCCAGTGCATTGTAAGCCAATCTGTCAAGGCAAATAAACAATTCACCTTGTTAAAATTCCCTAAATCTTGCATTAATAAAACCAAAGTAACCCCCTGAACACTCAAGAGATGTCTTCCTCCATACTGCGGTGATGGATGACATGTCTAAAGATCCTGGAAATTAAGTAGTTCAGGTCATTAAAAGTGTCCCACACTTGTTATTGATTTAATTTATTTTAAAAAGGTGGGGGTGGAGATAAGAATGTGATACCCCCGTTTTTTTTTTAATCTGAAAGCTACCACTTGTATAGATAATTAAAGCTATTGCCCCAGTGAACAGCTCTGTATTTGTTACAACATTAAGCTTTATTATTTAAATAGGTGTTATATGTCCTCTGAAACAGACAGATCACTAACAACTTGATAACCATTGCAACTTGTATCCTGGCAAAAAATTCCTTGGAGTTTCATACGTGCGATAATTCCCCGAGCTTCTGAGTACTAGGCACTGAAATAATGACCTCTGGGCATCCCCCAAACCCCCTTGGGTAGGTAAAAATTTAGATGAAGGTCAAATGATTTGGAAAAAATTAATTGCAAGAGCAATGGGATCATGCTTCTGGACAGAGGTTTATTTTTTTTTTTATTTCTGAACTTTCCATTTTTGTATTTTTATAATCAGGGAAAGAATATTATAAATAAATATGCAATATATACACAGATATTTACATATATATATATATGACTACATGGGAAACCATTTAAGTATTTTGATTCTATTATTAAACTCAAGTTTGAAATTGTGTTTGTGTGTGTGTGTGTGTGTGCACACACGCACGCACATGTATACTTGTTCATCACTAGGTTTCTCCACCAGCCCACACTCCTTTGAAACCATAGAAGTCACTTGTGTCCCAGTCTCTTATGCAAGAGATGCCCAGTAAATTTTTCATAAATAAAGTAGAATTTCCACTTTTCTTCTCTTTTATTCTTTAAGCTTCCATGGCTACCGCAGACTGTGTGAGAAATAGTGACAGCACCTACCCTTTGACAGTGCTGGCTCTCCAGATGAGCCAGCCCTCTCTGGAACTGAACAGCAAGAGGGTTGGGCACTAGTAGCTCAGTCTAGCAGGACTGGCAACTGATATAGTCCCTCACTTCATCTATGTGTCCTGAACTGGGCAACAATTACAAAGCCTTATGAGAAATGGGACAACTTAATATGTAAATCATGAATAAAAATCAAGATATTATGAAGAATTGTATATATATGTAAGATACACAGAATTTGACCTGACTTTTTTCTTTTGCTGTKTATCTTATTCATTATCTTACCTGGTTGTTCCTGATTAGCTTTGTGGATGATATTTCAACATAAATTTTCACTGGTCTTTAAACAACATGTGCTTATTGGGAAAAAATTTCCCCATGATATGTTATAAAAAAGGACTCTTACCAATAGTTATTTTAATTTCAGAAGTTATTTTATTTTCTGTTTCCTTCCATAATTTTTTAGGGGAGAACGGAGGGGAGATCACAATTTTGAATTCAGTTCACACACTCTTGAAAGATTTTTTTTAAAAAAACGTAAATATGAAAATGCACTGTATAGTTGTCCATCAGAGTTCTCCTTTAAATTGCATAATTCAAACCTCTGAATACTGACATGCTTATGCCATTATGCCAGCTATTTAACAGAGCTCTTTAAATGATAGAACTCTATAGATTTTTTTCTCAATGTATACACTGATTTACACTTAGCGGGTAAAGTTGTTACTGACCCTTTAAGTGGAGCTCTCCACATAGCAATAAATGTCAGTTGATCCTAGTGCAGAACAGGTGATAGCTGAGGGTTTTGACTAAATCTTCCAGTTAGAAAAACTATTTACGTATTCCTATATAGTAATGGTCTCTTGTGGGGAGATTTTATACACACACACACACACACACACACACACACACACACACACACACATCAGACCACTTATCACTCAGTAGGGAATATTTAATGACATATCTTGGTGGGATTATTGATGTGCTTAGGGTTTGAAATATTCACTCCAGATTAGAATCTCCATGAAGCCAGGGACTATATGTAGCAGCTTTCCCACTGCCTTGTCCCTTGATCGACATCTGAAGCGTAGGAGGGGCTCTGTGAATGCCAGCTGAATGAATAAATTACAGCATTTGTCAGCGCTGCATAGCACATGTGTCAGCCTGAATTCTTGGTGGGCAAAATGGGGACCACTTTTCCTATTGATTGTGAGAATGTTGCTGGTAAGGACTTTGATGGACAGTTATGACTTTTTGATATAGTTCCTTTGATTGATTGCCTAGCAAACTTCACTTCAGTTTCTAATTCTGTTTTCTGCTTCMACAGGCTGTCATTTTAGAAAATGAAGAACTTCCCAAACTCTTTCTTGATTTCCTAAATGTGAGACACTTGCCCTCTCTACCAAAGGCAGAAAGTTGTGGGTAAGAACTGTTGTGTACATACCAGATGTATATTTTAAGTTACTCTTCGGTAATTCATTGGCCTAACAAATATCCCAGAGTGGTGCCCAGGGAGAAGACTGGCTTTACCCAATCTTTTGGTTGGGACAGCACTTGCTCGCCCCCTGCTTGTAGTCAGAGGAATTCCCTCCAAGTCCCCATCTTGCTGCCAAATGGCCAAGGCTTACGAACTCATGTTTAGATGTAAGGAATTGACCTTTTAAATTATGCTGTTGCATAGAGGGATGGTACATGATGGGGAATTATGAATCTAGATGGTCCATTTAGGGACAGTTTATTAACTTTTAGATGCTTGAACCAAGCCCATATCCACCTGGTGTGCATCTTCATATCATTTTAAAGCTCTAAAGACATTAGTGTGATCCGTAATTTTACAGTTGTGCAAACACAAATGCAGGAATTAAGTGCCTTTCCCAAGATCTCGCTCTGTACTGGTAGAGCCCAGGCCTTMTAGCGCGAGCCCTTTTTCTCTACTGTTCTTTCTTCACTTGTCCCTCTCCCTTGGGAACTTCTAATGGCTGGGTTGCAGACCCTAGTCTGTGTCCCTGAAGGATTGAGAGGCTTGATATCACCATCAGTTTAGAAAGGCTGCAGAATTAATTCTGAAACAAGCCACTTGCCCTGCTGTGGACACATGAATGGGGCCGAGCTAACCTCAGAAGGCCGTCAGAACAAATACATTTACAGAGAAATGAGTCAGCAGGGAAAGGGTTTTGCCCATTTTTCACTGCCTCCAGGCCCACCTGAAAGGAGCCACACCAATTGCATGATGATCAAGCTCCCACACCCCACGTGTTTTTAAGCCCCAGCCATCTGCTGGTGGGAGCTGCACACACCTGTCATAGCTCCTCACCAGAACTGCTTCCTCAGGRCCACTTGCCACTTGCCCCAGCACCAGAATTGTATACCACACGTATCAAATAACCTGTCATTGGTGTGTTCAGTTCCAACCTGTGTGCCTGTGTTTACTGGAGGTTAAGTTCATATATGTGTGACATTAGCAATGACAGTCAATGAAATCTCATCATTACATAAGCCCCAAAGTAGTAATAAAATCTTGGGATTTCATAAGTGATCTTCAGGAAAATAGAAATACAAGAATCCTCTGATCTTAGGATTCTTTTTTTWAATACTTATATTTTAGTTATAGGTGGACACAATATCTTTATTTTATATTTACATGGTGCTGAGGATCGAACCCAGTGCCCCACGSATACTAGGCAAGTGCTCTTCCACTGAGCCACACCCCAGCCCCTAATCTTAAGATTCTTTAGGGTGAGTCATCAGCCATGCTGTGTCTCAGTATGAACTCCAAACTCACAACTTTTTTACAGTCTCCCAATTTAGTGCTCTAAGAATACTGGCCATTTTTGCCTATGTTGGTATAAACACTGACCCAGCTTATTTGGTCTTTTTCTTTTTCTTTTCAAAAAAAATTTTAGATCTTTTGATGAGACAGAATCTGAAGAGTCAAGGTAAGAACTCATACTAGTCAATCAAGAGTTATTCAGGGGAAGAAAAAGACTGTGGTCTTGTTAAATGTATAATTATACATGATATAATTGTTTAAAGTTGTGTTTTTCTTGAAAGCCTTTGTTAATTTTAAGATTATAAATATTTGATAGGGAGTTACAGGAGTGACCAGTTATAATTAGAGTGAATGATTACGAGACTGACATTGTTTTGTACAAGTAATAAGAATACTGTTTTATCTATGACCATATTACAAGATTTTTAAGAAAATAATTTTCAGCAATGATGCATTGTGTAGATTATGTATCTGCTTCTGATTCCACAAAGAAATGTTTAGCAGATGAGCACGGTGCCAGTTCATTCCCTGCGTTTGCTATTATTCACCCACATYGMAAGATACATAAACCCTGAGCTATCCCCACACAGCAGTTTGATCCCCTCAAAGCTAGTTTGTAGTGTTTTCTGTTTACCGTCGTCCCCTGATGCTGACATGCCTGTTCTTGACCTTTCCAGCAAACTGTCCCACCAGCCGGTGCTGCTGTTCCTCAGGGATCCATACGTCTTGCCTGCAGCCAGCGGTAATCAAACCTGTCATCTGCTAACAGCTCTTTACTGATCTGACCCTGCACCACATAAACCACGTTTTTAATACAGGTCTAACAGAGTGACATTGGTCCAGGGCTTAATAATCTGCCAATAAACCAGTGCTCTTGGTGTAAGAGACATTTAGAATTTTAATTGGGGCCGGCCTTTTAGGAGGAAATGTAATTTTTCTTTCTTTCTTACAAGGCTATTTTGAATTAGAACAAGAAGGGGTAAGGAGGAAAGATATTTATTGTCTCTAATTTTTTTTTTTTGGGGGGGATGGTATTATTTGGGCATCTGCTTGTTTTTATCCAGATGCAATGGGTGGTTCAAATTCAATACTGTCACCCCTTTTAAAACTGTTTTCCAAAAGAGCTGCATGCATGCGTGCGTGTGTGTGTGTGTGTGTGTGTGTGTGTGTATTGCAAGGGTAGCTCTATTCCCATTTAGATTGAAGCATCTTTGGTGGTTGAATATATATTTTTTAAAGTTATCATTTTGAATGAAATTAATCTATTTAAGTATAACAGTAATCAACCTTTTAGCCTGAGTCCTTTCTCTATACTACAAAATTCAAATTCCCCGGAGTCCCTCTCAAAGTGTTCTCTTACACAGGTCCCTATGAGTACCTTCTGAGACATTAACTCSTTCTTTTCTTAGCAACCTTACAAAATAGGCAGGGTAGGTAGTATCATTGGCCCAACCAGAAAACCAGAACTCAGGAAAGTCCCGACTTGCCCAGTCAGTCTCAGGGGGTTGATGGACGTATTCCTTGTTGTCTGAGTTTGCCTTCTGCACTTTTTGCATAAAGTGAATTTTCAGCCATTGTTTCTGACAGTCACAAGATAGCACACCAACTAGATAGCACTAGATAAATGATCTATTGAAAGCAGCCCTTGTTTCTGACAAGAAAACCTTATCACCAGCAAGAGAAAGGGGACTGCTGTCTGTAGCAAGGGAGCCCATCCTCAGATCACCCGCTTGGCTGTCAGCCGAAGGAAAGGTGGCCGGAACATAGCCCTGCTCTGTTGAGCGACCCCTCAGCACCTTGATCAGATCTGCCTTTGATGTAAAGACTAGTCTCACAATGGTTTTTTTGTTGTTGTTTACAAAATATTTTCAGTGAGGAATAACTGCTTCTCTTAAGTTCTTCAAGTTTAACAAATATGCATGTTATATTAGTAGATGTTATGTTAAATGTTATATTTAGCAAATATTCTTTTTTTATGTTTTTAGTTGTAGATGGACACAATACCTTTATTTTATTTATTTATTTTTACGTGTTGTTGAGGATCCAGTGCCTCACACATGCTAGGCAAGCACCCTGCCACTGRGCTCCAGCAAATATTCTTAATGCAACCTAGTCTAGATTAAAGAGGGAGTGTTTTGTAAAATATTATTATCTTAAAAATAACCACATAAGTATTTTTTGTAGATATTGTTCTTGTTCACATATTGCACGAATCTGACCTAAATTCCTGCAAAAATATAGAGAGTGGARTGATCACTGAGGAAAAGAATAGCCAGGATATAATGGAAGAGGGAAGCTACTTTAGGACCCTTTCATTATTAAACAGCACCTACTGTATACTGTACACCTGACTAGACAACCAAGAACAGGAAGAACCTTCTGGAAGARTAAATGGAAATAATAGGTTTAGTGGTTAGATGGAACCAGGTATTGGAGGGCCAGTCATCACATCTATTTTCTTGGATTTTGTCCAACCTAGTTTCATAAATTAGATTCCTGTTACCTTAGAAAGTGTCATACTAATGACATRTTCTTGCAAATCTTTACTTAACTTGAAGAGAAACTTTACTTTGCATCACATTCTTATATTATGATGCCTCTTAGCAAGATGTTGAGTTTATTCCAGAGCATGCTGAATATGGAAATATCTTTGGAGATAACTGACCCTCCAAAAGCCAGAGTGTCTGTTTTTAAAGTTCAGATATTTGAACGTTATCTTCTCATAACATGCTAATAGCTTTCAACATCAGAAGTCAAAAGAGTGCCCTGTATAATGGATTGAAAACCATAAGCCTTTTGGTCTTCATTTTGATTTTTCTAGGAAATTCAAAACAACTCTTTCCAAGGTCCCCTGTGACCTGAGTGTGGCCAAACTCTCTGGACAATTTTCATTCTTCATCTTGCTTGGCTTTTCATCAGCTTTAGATGTTTCATTTTCTTTCCATCAAACACTGTCTCCCCTCGGCTTTCTGCTTTTCTTCAGACCTCTGGCAGCTCGATGGAGGCTCTACTGGGCTTCTCTTCTTACTGTGCTTTCTTTTGAATAATCTTCTCTTTGCTCATGGCTTTGTTTACCCCATGTGTGCAACTGAGGCATGGTACTATATTTGCATCCAACACAAACTCTGGCTATGCTTTGCAAGGCCCCTGTAGTCTGCCCTAGTCTATGGGTCTCCTGAGACCTTGTCCAATACTCTGTCCCCTCCATCCTAGAAATGTTTCTGGGAATCAAATGTGCTAACCTTTCCTCCCCAGGTACCTGATGCCTCTTCCTCCTTCAGCCTTTGGGTCTGCACACATGSCTCATCTCCCAGGCCTCCTGATAAACATCACAGCTTTAGGGGCCTTTGGCAGCACGCTCACTAGAGCTGCCTGCTGGAGTCCCTCCTCCACTCATTCATATTTTTTTTAAGTTCACAATAAATGTTTATTAAGTAAATGAAAACCAACAAAGATCACAACAAACCTTACCCCAAATTATATTTCTTCTCATTGCCTCTCAGTGGGAAACAAGGATTAGGACAGTTTTCTGAGTAATTTAAGCAATAATGGATGTTGTATTAATACTGATGGATAAAACAAAGTRCATAGACCTGTGTGTGGCACACAATAAGTACCAGCTATTACTACATACTTATGTACTTTCAAATTACTGGACATAAAAGTAAATAACAGTCCTGCCCATGCCATGGATCATATATGCCATTGGGGTGGCAAACAAATCACCAGACATTTTATCATGTGTATAGTGAAGCCAAAGCCCAGAGTTTGAGTAGAACAAATGAAAAAGAAAGAGGGCCATGGGGAAGCCCCAACTATCATATCACGGATCACGAGTTGGTAGACTCAACCTTGTTATAAAATCCCTCTATCCCATTCACTTTCGGGTATTTTTGGAGGGGATATCAGGGACTGAACTCAGGGGCACTCAACCACTGAGCCACATCCCCAGCCCTATTTTGTGTTTTATTTAGCAACAGGGTCTCACTGAGTTGCTTAGCACCTCGCTTTTGCTGAGGCTGGCTTTGAACTTGAGATCCTCCTGCCTCAGCCTCCCCAACCACTGGGATTACACRCRTGTGCCACTGCCGTTCACTTTTTATCAGAGCATCCCTTTTGCATCCTTGAGTAATGGTCACAAACCACCTGTCCTGCCTCTCCCACCACCACCACCCACATTCACCTTCTAAGTCCCCAGTGTCTTGCACATTCTCAGCTGTGAGTGGACAGTAAGTGTAAGTAAGGMCTTAGCCTTTGCTGTTCCCTCTGCTGGGGATGCTGGCTCCTAAATACCCTGATAGCTGGATCCTGCCACTTCATCCAGGTCTTTCCTCAGAGAGCCCCTTCACATGAAGCCCTCCCCTCTCTCCATCCCCAGCCTCGTTAGCTGCCCTRCTAGGCTTTCTTTTTGTCCTTGAGCTACTGCCTGGCATATTAATGGTGCTATAGAGTACTCATAGTATTTAGTGTTGTTTTCTTTGTCTTTTTGCTGAACTTAGATGAATCTATTTAAGCTAAATGGATCTTCAAGTAAACTTTTAGATTTGGAACGGTAGAGGATAAAGGCACATGTGCCATTTACATGTATATGTCCCATTTGGGCATATTATTGAAAATCAATCAATAGCTCTGTTTTTGCTATTAGTATTTCTAATATTTTTATATAAGAGATACATTTTAAGATGTATTTTGTTTATTTGTTCATTTGCTTGCCTCTGCATCTAGCATGTAAGTTACATTGTATGGGTAGGGACAGTTCTTCCCTTAATGATCATCAGATTCACTCCCACTCTGGTCCCCCTCCACTGTCTGGTTACATAAGCCAGAAACCCAGAGTCATCCCTCACTGCTCACATCTGATCCATCACCAGGTCATTTCCTTCATTCTCTAGAATCCAGCCTCTTTTCTGTATCATACACCATGATCCTCCAGAAACGGAGCTGATTTCCTTGTGTCTGCTTTGAACTAGCTTCAGTTCATTCTCCGAGTGGCAGCCAAAGTCATTTTTTCAAAACACAATTTGATCCTGTCTCACTCTGCTTAAAATCCTTCAATAGCTTCTCATTATATTTCAGATAAAGGCAGAATTGCTGTCGATTCTTCCCAGGCATGACTTGGCACCCTCTGCCATCTGGCCTCCTCATGCCCGCTCCCCTTCCTGCCTGTCTTCCCGTTAGATCTCTGAACCTTCAGGCCCCCTCTTGCTGCAGACTTTCCCATCAAGTTGCTCTGCCTCAAATGCCCCTGCTCGTCCCTGCCGAGAGCCTTCTCTCCCTGATGAAGCCCAGTCTCCTTGTACATGGCTCTAGGTGGTAGGCACMCTATAGAGCATTAGTCAGTAAACATTAACTATGGATTAATAAGTAGACATTATTTCTTTGTCTCAGACCACTTAACTTTTTTACAGTTAAGTGCAGGGTTGTAGCATAGTTTCTGGATATAATTATGKACAGATTGAAATTTAGAACTTAAGCATCTAAAGCATAAGACAGATTGATTTCCTCTCAAGCAACCCATTTGTGTTTCACCTGCAATGACAACTGGAATTTGGTACACCATACAGTGTGCCTCTGAGTCTCCTTTATATATCATACAGAAAAAGAAGTGGCTGATTTTCAAGTTTGACAGGATGGCTATTGTCAGATATTTGCCTTCTTAGGCTAGTAAGAAAGGCCCCCATCTTGCTGCTCTCTAGAAACTTGTGTAATAGAACAAGCATACTCAAAACAACTTGGACTAAAATGCTGCTGTAAACCACAATGGAAAAACTGCAGCGAAGTATTCCCAGTAGAAATCTTGGAATTCCTTCAAGTATATTGAGATTTTGTTAGAAATTGAATTGCCAGAGTAATCCATCTTCCTAGTGAGAAAACATTCAGATAAAGAGCTGGGGCCTAGCAGCATTAACCATTAGAACATCCCTTAAATCAATAAGCTACAAATCTGGCCTCACATTCCTGCAGCATCTGGTGGTACGCGAAAGTGGCTTCCGGCCGAAGGTGCATGAATGATAGCACATCCTGAACCAGGGCAGACTGCAAGACGCTGCAGATTCCTAGGTTGTGGTGGCCTTACCTTGTTAAATTCTGCAAATGCAATTATATTTTTTATGCAAATAAGAAAAGCTATTTTCCTTTTGTTTTTCAGATTTTCCAAATGTGGTTATTGAAGGAGTTCTCCATGGGATATTTTACCCTCATCTGCAGCCCAGGTAGAAATCCTACTTGGCTCAAAGAACCTGAAGCAAGTTTTCAAAGTCATAGTCAAGGAAATCGATATCTACCAAATTAACCTAAACTCTATGGCATAACAGCTCTAGCTAGTGGTAAAATCCACAGTCCCAGCTTAATTCAGGGCAGGGACGTTTCCATTAGAATGGTGCTTTTAAAAATAGAAACTGTACCAGGGTGGTGGTCATGTTAAGGCTGAGTGTTTAAGAAGTAGAAGTAGCTGCCAACTTAGAAACCCATCAAAGGAGGTCACGGTAGATTGCTGGGAGCACAGAGTGTCGCCAAAGTTACTCTCTGCTTCAGTCGCACCATTTACTAATTGAACATCATATCCTGAATCATCCTGAGACTGATCAGCTTTGGTGGATTTTTGTTTAGATCTCATGACACACTAATCTTTTCATCCTGCAATTTTCTTGGCCGGTGATTGTACATTCGGAAGTGCTGGCACCAGAAGAACGTCACAGAAACACACTGTGCTGTGAGGAAGGAACCAAACTGGAAATTAAATTTTATTGACAGTATTATGACATTTAAAAATCATGGCATTTTAATTTATACTACAGTGGAGTTATATCCCGTCCCAGAAGTGAACTTCTAACAGCAGTGCCTAAGAGGAAATGGCGGGTTAGGACTACCCTTGAAAGCCCTTTAAAAAGGTATCATATTAGAAGTCTGTACACCCACCCCATCAAGTCTCTTCTCCAGTGTTGGAAGATAAGAGTGTTCCTTTGAAGACCAAATTTCATTGATGGTGGTGGTTTGGGGGCAATTGTGTTATAAAAAGCACATTCTTTTAAACACTAGAACCACACTGAGCCCTATAAGATGCTTGCTGGGTAAGAGACAGATGACTGAAGCAAGAGCAGATGCACAGTACTGGTCCGGGTTCACTTGGAYCATTCATTCAAGTTAGTGGCATTGTCACAGGGCTTCTTGTTATTTTCCTTGCGGGTTCCTCTTCGCTGACCTCATGTAGTCAGTTAAATGTGTTTCTGATGTAACTCCACTGTATGTCGAACATTCATATTTTGAGTAGCAAAGGATAAAAGCATATATGCTACCTGTATGTGTGTGCTGTACATGGGCATTCATCAAAAACTAATTAATAGCTAGCCTAGTTGAGGCTATTAGCTTTAATAAATTTYTGTGTGGGAGAAAAATATTCAAGATTGAAACTAATAACTACATCATGGTGTTTGATTAGGATCTAAATATGTAAGTTTAAAGCCTACTGCAAACTTAAAAATGTTTTGTGGTAAATTATGTTATTACATGTTGGAAATAGGCAAAAACTAAATAATCACGTGTCATCAACCAAAAATAACTGAATTGTCAAGTATTGGATTTATTTTTTAAATGTTTTTATGTTACTAGCTATTTTGAGTTAAATAAAAACAAAGAATAAGAAATATTCTAATTTATCTTCTGCTTCTAGCACTTTATTAGAAACAGATTGTGTCTGTCTCTACACATAGGCACTTGCACACAAACAAAACTTCTCATTCACATAGGCATTTATTTCTAATCTGATAACGTATGAAATTACCTCATCTATTGTTAAGCCAATAGGCACTCATTGATGATTTACCAAGATAATAAGAGTTTTTAAAATACAGACCAAACATTATGCGCTACTCAAGAAATCTTTTTTGAGAATTAAAGTTTCTTAGTGATGTCATTCATTTTTATATTTAAATTTTTAGTRTATAATTTTAACAAGAGTCCTTACGGAAACTAGAAACCACTGTATATCTTTTAAGCAAACAGAGCTGTATAGAGGAAACTGAATGCTTGCAGAATCTTTTGGAAGAATGAGAGGCGTGGACTCCTCCTGGTGAGTGTCCAGGAACGCCTTCGAGAAAGTCTGAGCAACCTTCAGCACCAACCTGCCAGGGGAGCAATAACCTGTACCTTAAGCGGGAACTCTGGGAATCAGGAGGCTGCTGGAAGTGGGGGGCAGAAATTGAGATGAAAAACAGCACCGGTGCTACAATCCAGGGATCAGCAAATCCAATTAGGAAGTACCTATAATCACCATTACTRCCTCACAGCAGCACCCAGGAGGCTAGGCACTGGGCACTAGAACGAAAAGTCCAGTGCCACACCTACACTGCAGTTGCTTCTCAACCCTTGCTGGATGGCAACTACAGCCCAAAGCAGCAGGAAGATGGTACTCACCCACCTCCATATTCCACTCCATTTCTCATCAAAGTACATCCAGTGTGCAGAACATTACTCTCACTCCAACAGAGTCTGGGAAAGAGCTGGCAGCCTTCCGGACAATTCAGCTCAGGAAGGCATCTTGGAAAGATGATTGAATATATTTCCATGGTTGAAATTTTAATGAAAAATATAAAGGATAGATAAAACAGAAATTACTCTCCCATCCCAACTCTCATATCTAAGTTCCCTCCCCTAAGCACTACTCTACTAAAAGTTTGAGGGATATTTCATCCACATGCAAGCAAATATTATATATTTCTATATTCTACCTTCCCTATTTTTATAACAATGGCAGCATATAATATCTGTTTTCATCTGATATATCTTGGCAGTCTTTCATGTCAGTACCTAAAATGCTTCTCTCTTCTTTTTACAGTTGCATGGATCTGCTACAGTTGATATAACCAGTACCATATTAATAGATTTGTTTTAATTTTTTATTTTAAAAAGTCATAAACTGGGCTGGGGCTGGTGCTCAGCAGTAGCACATTTGCCTGGCATGTGTGAGGCCCTGGGTTCGATTCTCAGCAACACATATAAATAAATAAAATAAAGGTCTATCAACAACTAAAAAATATTAAAAGAAAAAGATAAACTAACTTTCTGTATATGTATATAAACATATATGTATATGCATGGATTAATAGTTTTGATTAAATAATTATAAACAACAAAAACTTCAAAAATCAGACTATCAGATGTGTAAACACACATTTATATTTAATAATATCTCACTCTTGGGTTTAAAATCAGAAGTACAAGAGGTATCTGAATTTATGTGCATTTTAATCAGATGTGAATATTCAAATCAGAAAGAACTTTTTGTATTATAATAGCTGCTCACATTTCCACACTACGTGATGAAATACCAAATACTTCCTCAGTTCCTTTGATTAAACCATGCTCTCTGCTAGCGGACCCTTCCTCCCCCTCTCTGACATGAAAGCCAGAATGATCTTTATAAAAGATCACTCTCCTGTTCATGATCCTCCAATAGCTTCCAATCCAACTTGGAATAAAATTTAAACTCCCGCCTCCCTCTCCAAGTTCATTGCACTGCTTTTGTCCATACTCCTGTTACGGGCAACAGTGAGTGGCCTCTCAGTTCCCAGATGTGCCAACCTTGGTTACTCCAGTGTCTGTTCTTCTATGGAAATGAGTAATTGAAATGAGTTGGTGGTTACCTCCCTGGCATGGTAACACTTTGGGCAGTGGTTTTGAAGTGCAATCCCTGGACCAGCAGCATTAGCATCATCAGGTTACTTGCTAGAAACACAAACCCTTGTCCCCTGTCAGGATTACCGAATCTGACAAAACTGAGAGTGGGGACCACAGATCTGACAAGCCCTTCAGGCAATTCTGATGTAATACAGGCAATCCTAGGGCATTTGAAATTATTTTCATGTTGCTAATTTTTTAAAGTTTTAAATTGTCTTTTTAAAAAAAACTCGTGTCAATACTTCTGGGAGAAGGCACTAAATCAAAAAGAATGCCAGAATGGCTACTACAGAAGGCCTTTCCAACAGAAGCCTAGCCCATCAAAAAGAATCAGGATGATTAGGCCAAACCAACAAGGTATTTTAAATGGGGTAAAAGATAAGAGATTCATACCCTTAGAAATGGTCATCGTTCTCATGAACTTCTATACATGGTTATTGTGGCTATTTTTCCCCACCCACAGACAGTAACATGATGTCTTTCTATATTTTTGCTCTCTCTAATTTTGCATCTCTAGTTTTTAATTTTCTGATTTTGAATCCTTGTGTTCATGGAACTTACAGAATAATGTAATATTTACTGGATGAATACCCAATTTGTGATTATGAAGTATATTAAGTGTTATGAAGGAAAACTAAGACAGTTTTCTAATACGCAGGGAAGATACTAAATTTAGATGGGCAGGTTAGGATACTTCTCCAAGATAGTGACACTGAAATTAAGATCTACAGGATGTTGGTGGAATTGGCCACAAAAGGCAGGGAGGAAGGGGAAGGGTGGGACATCAGGAGTTTCTAGAGCCTTGAATTAGCAGAGAGCTTCAGTTAAGGTCCTAAAAGAAAACCAGTGAGCGGGGAGGACAGTGAGGGACCAGGGTGGTAAGGAGGGTAGGGACTGGGTTCCATGGAGCCTCCACTGAAGGTGGCATTCAAGAGTTTGACTTGTACCCTGGAAAACCACTGACAGGTGTTTCACATGAAGGATATGATCTATTTTCTAATATGCATTTATTTACTTTACTAGGCATGAAAATTTTAAAAACCTGAATGGGGGGCTGGGGTTGTGGCTCAGTGGTAGAGTGCTTACCTAGCATGTGTGAGGCACTGGGTTTGATACTCAGTACCACATATAAATACATAAAAAATAAATGTTCATCAACAACTGAAAAACATTTTTTTAAAATAATTTTTAAAAACCTGAATAGTTAAGAAAAACCCTGCAAACAGCTATCAGGCATCAGCAAACAATCTGAAATTTAGGATAATWAATATTATGTATCACATTTGATCTGAGGATCATTCTGGCTGCTTGGGAAGAGTGCACTGGTGTAGGATGTGGAGCAGAGACTTCTAGGAGGCCACTTGAATAATCTGGGTGAGTGGTGACCTCCTGGTGCAGTGGCAGCAGTGGAGAGGATGAGGTATGGATACTGCAGCTGCCTTGTAGGGCTACTAGTCAACCTGCTGATGGTCTCAGGTGTGGAAGGTAAAGGGAAGGCAGGAAGAGGTCAGTAGGATTTTTTATTAGAACATTTGGGTGGAGCTGGTGCCATTCATTGATGGGGGCTGAGAGTGGAAGGTTGGGAGCCCAGTCTTCTGGGAGCTCCAGAGTTGGTGAATACTCTCCTAGGCCTCGTGTCCTCCTCCAGTTCAGATACTCTGACCCCCCATTTGCTAGTACATCTTCAGAGGCTTGCAAGCAAACCCAGACCAAGACTGACTCGCCATCAGAAGGAAATGAACTTGGATTTTTCCCATTGTGGTGACAGRTTTGTGCTGAATCATGTCCAAATTTCTTCCCAGTTCACTAGGGTCAGGAACATGCTCTGTAGCCAGGAACAAAACAAAGCAGAGATCAAACCAAAGTACCTCAGTCAAAGCACATATTACCATGTGAATTTACAAATGATAAATGCCATCATTGTACATGATTTCCTCATGGAGCCCTAGGGGACCGCATGGCTCACCCAGCAAATGAGGATGCAAATGTAAAAGTGGCCAGAGTGGACACCTAAGTCCACAGTACCTAAGACTCCRGGGGKGGGGGGGKTTCTTGTTACTTCTTCAGGTCACATGGAAATGCTTAGCTCAGAACTGCTCCTCCACAAACTGCCTTGACCATGCTACCTTCACACTGAGTATTCTGCCTCAGAGGCTGTCACTCACAACACCGGGGTCTGCCCTCTTACTGTTGGCCACTCCCCTCACTTTTGCCAGGCCGCTTCTGGCATGCCCATCAAGCTTCCACTCAGAAAGCAAAGAGGAAGTGTATGCTTTTAGAGAAAGATAACATTATCTTTGAAAAATAGTAGAAACAGTTGAATGACTAATACCAAAGTTTATCAACCTTTATGGTCTTGAGAGATTACAAGCACTTCATAGTATAAATTTAGGCTTATTCTTTCTGGTCACTGATTTTGAATATATTATTGGTTAGGTATAAGACACAGTTTAGGGGTAGATTAGGAATAAAATCTACTCCTTGCCCTTGAGGAGCTTGCAGTCAGTCCAGGGAGGAGATGGGAGGCACCCAGGGAAGTATAGGACTCAGGTCAGAAACCTCTCTATGAGGGCTTCCTGAGGGAGCCACACACAGCCCTGAAGAGCAGCTTGCACAAGGCACGCGGCCATTTCGGGAGTTCTCAAAAGGGCTGTACTTTAAGGCTGATAGGGCTAAATTAAGTTTTGGTTTCTCTACTGCAGGCTGACCAGTCCTTACTCCTCTTCTCATGACAGTCCAACACAATGTAGCACCCACAATCACCAGAAGCAGACTCATCTTTCAAGACCAGGTGGAAGAAAAATATTCAAGTTTTCGAACAGAGTTGCCTACCCGGATAACAGGGCATAACATTTCCCACCTAGGACAGAAGGTGACCAGAGTTGTAGTATCCAGGTTGCTCTAGGAAGACAGTCCTTCACCCTCTGAAAAGTTAGAATATGTAGAAACTTACATGACTCCTAACAAATCATTAAAAGTAAGTCATGGAAGGGTTTTGGAAATATGGAGTCCTCCAAATCCTCCAAATTTGTGATTCCCTAATAAGTCCAATTTAACTAGTACTGGGGTAAAAGTTCCATTAATGGATTGTGAAATGTATTTTGTCTTGTCTCTTAATTATTTGTACATGGATCTTTTTTTCCTCTGGCACAATTCTTATGAATAGTCATTCTAATTCTGCATTAGAACCTGCTGTTTTTCCACCATTTTAGCGTATCAGTAACACTAGCAAGTCTTGGAGTAGGTTACATTATATCACACCTAAAACTTACTCTTGGCTAAAATCTTAAATCCATGGGATGAATTATAGATTTAAGCAAAAGCAATTATGTACTTAATGGCACCAAAATTTTCCATTACAAATACTGTTTTTACTCTTCCTTAATTTAAAAAAAAAAAAAGTGCCTTGAGGGGTCTTTGAATTTCCAAGCTTTCCAGGATCAAAGATTTCTTTAGCTGTCTGAATTGTAAGAATGTTGAAAAACAAAAAACAAATCCTTTTTCTACTATAAAATCCTTGCCATGTTTTTATCTTTATGTAACTCAAAACAACTGAACTGAGAAACGAGGCTGGTGAGTTTTGTTCAAAATCTAAAAATTCATCAGAAATGAAGTAATTGATAATGCCAAAAGGGTCACTCTAACAAATCTGATCATGAATACATTTGTAGCTTCTTAGCTGTTGATCCAGAAAATTGCTAAATGGCAYTTGTAAGAGAATAAAATAGGTATGGCTAAGGATGCCAGAATATTTTAAATTGTTTATTAGAATGATTCAAGACTAACTTGTTGCAATTTGGGCTTGGTGATGGTGTCCACTGAAATTTTTCCTCTGATTCCACACTCACCCACAGCTACCTATGTGACCTCTTCAGTAACATGATCAGCAAAATAGTGAGCTGTTTATTTCTAAGCTTTTTCACCAATATTAGACTATAAAAATCAACAGTTCCTACTTTCATAATCATCAGTTTGCTGATATTTCAGTATGAGGCTTGCCAGTGGGGGTTGGGGGTGTCCTGGTCATCTGGCCTAATGCACAACATGAAAATTTGCACCTGTGCACTTGTGGTCTCAGAATTTCAGCACTTCCAGAATGTACTCTTGTTTTTTTGTTACTGGTGAGCTGTCACTTATGCTTATACTAATCAAAATCTAGACAGTAAGTGTGGTGTGTAGGGCATGTCCTTATGCATGAGGGGTCACAGTAGCTTATGTGCTTTCTGACTTTGGAGTTTTGCATATGTAAGAGGTCATTTGTTTTCAATTCCTCCTATGCTTCTTTTATTTTAAATAAAATTTAAGTTTTATTTTTCTTTTCATTCTTAAGGTRAAACATACCCTAGACAAAAACTATAAGACTAAAAAAAGTCTAAAGTAAAAACTGGGCATGGTGATTGATGCTTGTAATTCTAGCGACTAGGGAAGGATCACAAATCCAGGCCAGCCTGGGCAAATTAGCAAGACCCTGACTAAAAATAAAAAAATTTTAAAAACTGGGGATATGGCTCAGTGATGRAACACCCTGGGTTCAATCCCCAGTGCTATAGAAAAAAAGTATAAAGTAAAAAGTAAGAGTAAAAAGATCCTATCCTTTGTGTTTATTTTATGCAAATTTACATTTCGTTGTATTTGCTTTGTGAGAATGTATTATTTCTACTTTTTTTCCTTAAAAAAGTATTCCATTCTAGATTGTATTCTTTATAAACACATTGGGATTCAATTTACCTCCATAAATTCTACACTTCACATCCTGTGCATAAAACTTTTTCAATATTGCTGTATTAGACAAAGACTTTAGGTTGCAAGTCAAAGGAAATCAATTTGCTCTGGCTTAAGCAAAAAAAAAAAAAAAAAAAGAGAGATCTGCTTGTTTAGTGAAAAGCCAGGAGTGGATTAGTCTTAGACACAACTAGACATAAAGGCTAAACGACGTCTTCAGGAATCTTTTTGTGTTCTGGACCAGCTTCCTTCTTTGGTAATTTCACTCTTATTCTGCACCTTTACATCCTCTCAAAAAGCACAGCTGCAGAAGTCCCATGATTGAAGTTCCTTAACCCAGCTGACATCAAACATCCAGGCCTGAGCTGGTCACTGGGGCCAGGGAAGGGGAATGTTCTGCTCCCTCTGCCAACCACCTGGTTCTGCTCAAGGGACCTCTTTACTGTTTCTTGGACCCACCCAGCCTGTCCTTCACTGAGGGCCACTCTCGTGTCCCCTCTACCTCCACTTTTCTTGCAGTGTTCCCATGGCTTGTTTCTCCCTCATCCTTTCGGTTCCCACTCAGAGACCCGTCCAACCACCCTTCACTCTCTGTCCTCTGTTTTTCTTCTCTTTACTTCCCAGTGTTGTAATATACTCATGTGGAGTATCTGAATGATTTGTGTGCTTCACAGGAAGCACAAGAGCTGACATTGTGGCTCTGTCCTGAACTCAAGAAGTATTTATCAGATGAGTTAAGGGAAGACTTTGCCAGGCCCCATGTACACCCATCTGTAGGTCAGTCTATCCTCAGGACAAGAAATGGTGGAGGGAATTGGTATAATCCCCAAAGGAAAAAATAACTGGGCAGCCATTACTAGAACAAGGAGCCAGAATACTGAAACGATCGTGTTCATTACAGCTCAGATCACTCTCTAAGGCAAATCCCAGGAGTGGGAATACAAAGGATATAAATGTTTGGGTTTCCTGATAAGTTCTGCTTCCATATATCCCCCTATAAAAATTCTCCTTGTGGCAGACAAAATAATGCAGATCACATCAAGTCCCTTCCCAATTTGAAATTGACAGCTGCCATTGTGTGTCCCCCTAGTGTTCTGGCCCCAGCTGGCTAGGCTCAGCCTTTCTTCCCTGACCTTGGTCCCCACACTCCCTTCATATACCAGGCCCCCAAATACCAGCTTTCTTTTCTGCCTTGGARTTCATTCATTCTCACCCTGGGACTTTTGTATTTTTCTCATGCTTCTTCGGCCTGGAAGGTCCTTCTCAGAGATCTTGCTTGGCCACCTCCCAGTCTTCCTTCAATCCGTAGGTCCTCAAGAGGCCCTCCTTGGCCTCTCCAAGCTTACGCCCCACCCACCCTCTCCATAAGCACCCTGTGTGTTTTCTTCATAGCTTTCACTGCCCTTTTTATTCACTTGTCTATCCTCCATCTTCCCCACTAGAGTGTCAGCTCCATGAAGCCCTTTTCTCCTGTTCATTTTGRTATTTCCAAAAATCAAACTGGAATCTGGTATACTAAAATATACCTTCAATAAATATTTGTTGGAAAAAAAATGAACAAATTACTCTCTGGGAGCRTTGTAGTAATTTATACCCCTCAGCAGCAGCAAGAATGCCCATTTTCATTTCATATTGAGGCAATTTTCTTAGAATGCAGCTTGAGAGGTGGATTCTTTAGCTTCTTACTGCGTGTGTGCTGGAGSAGGGATACTAGCTCCATTTTCTTCCACCTGAACGGAGAGTGGCACTTCATGCAGCAAGGGATGTCACAAGGTCCAGGAAGGACTGTATTTTCCCATCTGGTTTAAATACAGCCTGAATCTTAACCCCCAYTATGTAGGTGACCAAAAGATTCCTTTCAACTACAACTGGACTCAGGGAACTTTCTAAAATGTTACTAAATAAAAATTAGTGACTAATCAGTTTACGTATTTGGGATGTAGAAGGGCATAATTCTGTGGTTCCTATCCTAAATTATCCAGTTGTGTTAGCATTCTAATTTTTTCTCTAATGTGTTCATTGTTACTATTAGAGTGCATGTGTTTTTATATTTATTTTTTAATTTTTTTTCATATATTTTAGTTGTTGATGGACCTTTATTTTATTCATTTATTTATGTGTAGTGTGGAGAATAGAATCCAGTGCCTCACACATGCTAGGCAAGCATTCTACCACTGAGCCATAACCCCGGTCCCCATYCATTTATTTTTTTAAAGGAATTTTAAATTTTAAAGAGACTTGCAAAAAGAATTAATGCATATAAAAAGTATTTAATATAGAGAACACAAAAGCACCTTTTCTCAGGCAAAAATCCCCAAGACATATATCAGATTATACTAATCAAGTTTCCTTTTAAGAAAAGAATTATTTGAATACAGAAAAATAAACTTCATGTCTTCATCTTTTTCAAATAAAACTTCAGTTTCACCTAACATACAGATAACAATGAATTTAACAAAAACAAACGAACAACTGAGTGTGTTCTTAAAAATAAATAGCCAATACAAAGTTTTCTAATTTAAAAACAGCACCATGGAAGGAAGTGGATGTGTCTTTTCAGTTCAGAGTTCCTAAATAGGTGATTTACCACARATTCATACAAACTAAACTTAAGAGTGGTTGGTTTTTAAATCTTTCCTGGAGTGGAAATTAAAAGAAAGTAAAAAGCAAAGCAAAACARTAACTGAAGAATTAAAGGCAGATGGGCAGACAATACGTGCACACACATACTGTTCACACATACACACACACCCTGCCAGGTGCATTCCTTGTTTTCTATCGGTTGTGTCACCAGTCTGTGACCTCAACCACGAAGGGTGTTTTCACTTCTATCTTGCCACTGTTGGTGATGGTGCAGTTGGTGAGAGGACGGTCATGCTCATCAGTTGCCTGGAGCTCTATGGAGTGCACCACGCTCTGGAGAGAGAAAATCAGACAGGCAGCTCTGGAGTTAGTGTAATCAAAAGCCCYAGTGGGAAAGTAAGTTGTATCACTATAAAAAACCATGCACACTAAGCGTGAAAAACTTAGAAGATTCAGAAAATTATTTTAATTATGTATGTATATATATCTCATGGAATAAAATTCACCAGCTACCTTGTTTATCCAAGAACATATTGGTCTATTTCCRTACTTCTTTCTTACTAAGCATTGTATAGACTCAAAAAATTAAGATACTTTTGAAAATAAAGTATTTGTATTCATCAGCTACAATCCAATGTAAAGGTTAACATGGAGTTTGAATCAGTTTCACCTCTACCCTATACTATGTTTAGGCACAATAAAATGGTCCATAAAGCAGATTTAAAAGTAGACCTAATTCTGTGTGTGTGTGCTGTTGGGGATTGAACCCAAGGCCTTGTGCATGTAAAGCAAGCACTCTATCAAATGAGCTATATCCCCAGCCCTTGGGTTTGCCCCTTTTAAAGGTGACCCAAGCCATTAATCTTGAGTCTGATACTAATATAACCTGTTCAATCCGACAGTAGTATAAAGACCCCTTTCTTTGCGCTAGAAGCCCTCATAAGCACATGCACCACTTATATTTCCCAGTGAAGGAGGGAAGATGTCACAGACCAAAAAGGCAGGCTTTTGATGAGTTTTCCAAACACATTGAGTATTCATCTCAATTCCTGGACTTCAGTTGCATTGAATCAGAATAGCAGGTAGAAGATGTGGAAAATCTACAGTGATGAAAGTGGTTGATTTGTTTGGATGAGGGAGGCCAAACAACTCACATGAAAATAAAACATAATGGAACATGGAAGAGGACACAGGAGTCAAGGGTGTCCAGGGCTGGGTTGGACAGACTTCAATATGGCCAGTTTAGAAGAAAGTTATTTTGGGCAGCTGCTAAGGAGACGTGGTGAGAAAGGAAGAGAATGAGAATTTTAAGAAGCAGGCCTATGGGTTATGAATTGGATCCTTTGCTGTTCTTTGAGAATAACAACATAGATTTGAATTCTCTTAATGAATGTTGGTTGCTGTACTGTGTGTCCATGAATACAACTTGATATCYGGACTGAACCATATTGGTTCAGGGCTTTTTAATATTTTAACTGTAAGAAACATATAACACAGAATTTGCCATCCAATTCATTTTTCACGTGCATAGTTCAGTAGTGTGTAAGTTTATTCACACTGTTGTGCAATTGGTCTCYAAACMTTTTTAAATCTTGCAAAACTGAAACTCCATTCCAAATGCCTTTCCCTAAGCCCCTGGCAACCACCATTCTAGTTTCTGTCTCTATAGATTTGACTACTTTAGGTGTCTCATGTAAGTAGACTTGTAGAGTAATTGTCTTTTTGTGACAAGTTTATTTCACCTAGGATAAGGTCCTCAGGTTTATCCATGTGATAGCACACCTTTTCTTTGTAATACTGAATAATACTCCATTTTATGAATGTATGGGACCCTGGTTTTATTTTGTTATATTATAAAGGGCTTTCCATTTACAGCTAGAAGCAAAATAAATTAAGTACTTAGCTTCTCCATGTCAAGTCTTCAGCTTCTATCCTAATGTCCCTAACATGCCATAATGTCATGCCATATATTTACTTTGAAGAGGTCAGTCAGCATATAAAAATGGATCTCTAACAACTCATTTAATATTAAAATGAACCACTGAAGGTACTCTCATAAATATAAAACTTTGAAAGAGGAAAAAGTAATATATCAAGTTACCATCCCATCGAGGACTTTTCCAAATACCACATGTTTGCCATCCAACCAGGTGGGCTTGGTCAAGGTGATAAAGAACTGGGAACCATTGGTGTTAGGCCCAGCATTGGCCATGCTGACCCACCCAATACCATAGTGCTTCAGCTTGAAGTTCTCATCAGGAAATGTCTCACCGTAAATACTAAAACCTGGGTTAAGATAAAAGAAAAGGGAGGAGAATGAACAGACATCAACCAAAAGTAAACTCTTCATAGGAAACAAAAGGCTTTAGTGTAATCCGTTCATAGAGCCCAACAGAAGATGGGAATGGGGAATAGATGGTCAAAGCTATGGAGAAGTGAAAGAGAGAATAAAATTAACTCTTTAAGGAAGCAGGGCCCTAGAGCCTGAAACAGACAAGCAAAAATGCCTATGATATGGCACAGGATGGCAGGTCCCCTCTGGCCTCAAACCAATGCCAAATCTGGATCATATAGGTCAATAATTTCACTCTGAAAGGAGAAGGAACAGCAGGGCAGGGTGGTATCCCAAAGCCAGATGGAAAGGTGGGTGAGCCGGCCTCGTRGCTCTACCTCTGTACTATATTCGGGTGACTTGTCCCAGGTCACTGCTGCCTTGGCACCCAACCACTCACTGAGTGGACACCCTCAGCTTATTCCCACAACATCCCAGTGTAGTTGGTATTCTCAGTCCCCTTTTCACACTGGGAAACAGAGGTATAAAACTTGAAAACAGCAGATCGGAATTGGAACATCTGATTTTCTGACTCTAAAGCTGGTGCTTTTTCTTACCTCAGCACTGAGGCAGTAGCAACTAGGATGAAAGACATTAAGCACAAGGCTCTCMGGATGCACAAGGATGCATCCTGAGAATTGGGACCACCTGGGGATCAGCCTTGCTGAAGAACCAGCCTGTGATCTGGAATTCTAGCAAAGTAGCGGATATAGTAGAAGCCCTCTCCCAGAACAACAATATGGACCATAGGGAGCATCTGCCTCATTCCTAACACCTTGAAGGCCTCTTGTGCTTTTGTATTACTGAGCTCCTTATCCACTGGTTGCCAACCTCAAAATCCTGGCTCTGTTAAAAGGACCAGAAGTAGATATCAAAGTCAAGCTGGTTGGGCAGGGACATGTGGGTGACCTAGCTGGAAAGCTCTGCCCAGAGGGGTCTAGGCTAAATTTAAATAGTTCAAAATTTCCTCTCAGAAAATTTTAACCCCAGACCCACATGTGTTGGAGAGGGAAAATAGAGAGAGAATAAAAATAGAAAAGATAGCAAAGTAAAGCTCAGTCGCTCTTCCCGCTGGATCGTATGGTGGGATGGTGGATGCTGGTACCAAGAGCGCAGGTACTAGAGCTACCAGGTTTTCCGGTGAGTCTGGCACCTCAGCAGCTAGGATTGCTTCCACAAGCATTCTCAGCAAACCCTGTAACCTTGACGAATCTGAACCAGCTTCTCTACTCCATTCTGTATCCTTATACCCTATAGCATTTTTGCAAGAGCTAAAAGTACTCTTTATAAAGTGCCCGGTAAATCATAGCATTTAATGGCAACTATTTTTATTATCAAGAAATAAACCATTACAATAAACATAAATAGAAATAATGACTGAAAGTGGCTTTTCTTTAAAAAGTAAGCAACTAATATCTACCCTAACCAGTATTTTCTGAGCTTAAAATCTTAAATTTTGTGTRGTTATACATGCAATAGGTGTTCTGGAGGAAAGAAAAGAAAAGAAAAGAAAAGCTTCTCCCTACATTTCAGAAGGAAAATAGTCCATGGAGCTGGGTAGTTATGATCCTCAATGAGACACAATATGCTGAGGGAGATTTGAAACTCAATGACCTTAAGTATTTGTCCTTTATTTTACTTTGTTCTTGGAATTAGTTATAATTTTGATGACTCAGCTATAACTTTTTTATTATTAAAAAAATCGACAATAAAAGAAAACACTTTTGAAAGAAAGGGAAAAATTCATCATGATCCTGCCACCTACACTCCAATCCTGTTATTCTGGCACCATGTCCCATCCTCTTCCCCGGCCCCAACTTGTGGCCAGCTGCCACCCCAGGGCACACGGCTCTATAGTTCACCTCTTCCTTCCTATGGCATGCACTGCTTTATATTGCTACATACTAGCAGTCGAGCGGTTTTCATAATTGTGAGATATTCTGCCAAATGAATGGATCTACCCTATGACAACGAACACCAAAACCATCCCATTTAGAATTAGGAAGACTCATTCATTCATACCCAAAAAGATTCTGGTAAATGAGGTCCCCAAACCTCTATCTTCTGGAAAGACTTTGAGCTGTCTTTATGGCCTTGCTTCTTAAATGGGGGAATCTGGCTATCTTGGGTTCACATACTGACGGACTCTTGGGTTTCAGCTTGGGAAGTGGGAAAGGAGAAAGGCAAAAGATGGCGTTACCTACCACCAGTGCCATCTCCCGCAGTGAAGTCGCCTCCTTGAATCATGAAATCCTTGATGACACGATGAAAGGTGCTTCCTTTATATCCATATCCTTTCTAAAGAGATTATTTCAATTGAATACACAAGTAGAAAAAAAAATCCATACTGAAAGATGAACCTTCAACCCCAGTGTTTATTTGAAAATGATAAAGTGAGAAAAATCAAAATATCTACAGAATTTGATTAGGTCTTGGCAATGATTTCTCTCTCTCTCTCTCTCTCTCTGGCAGTACTAGAGATTGAACCCAGGGGTGTTCTACCACCGAGCCACACCCCCAACCCTTTTTATTTATTTATTTTTTAATTTTGAGACAGATTTCATTAAGTTGCTCAGGCTGGTCTGGAACTAGGTGATCCTCCAGCCTCTGCCTCCCAAGTAGCTAGGACTACAGGTGTGTACCACCATACCCAGTGACAGCAATGATTTACTGAGAGAAACTTATCACTGGCTGACCAAAACAACAAATAAACAAACTATGGAAAGAGAGTATTGATGTGAATAAGTAAAAACAAGAGCATTTTCACTTGTTTTCTTCTAATTTCTGGAAGCCTACAGAGGCTGTGTACCTGAATAATAAAGATTTCATAGTAAAATACAATTAAATGTCACAGATTCATTTGACATTAATTTAATACTTGTTCTCCCAGCGGCATTTTGTATTTTACTTAAAAGAAATAAAATACAATTTKTGTGTGTGTGCACAGTTGAAGGAAATAAAATRGAGACAGACCTCTCCTGTTGCCAGAGTGACAAAATTTTCCACTGTCTTGGGCACAACTTTTTCRAAGAGGCCAATCACAATTCTGCCCACATCTCTGTCTCCAATCCTTATATCAAAGAAGACCTGCATATAATTGAAAACACAGAATAGAAGGTTATAACATGGAGAAGACAAAAATACAAGCTAAATCAAAATTAAAATCTGAGGAAAGCCTGCCCATCGGTATTTTAGAAAGGAGTCATGAAGAGGCTATTAGTGAAAGGTGCTCTAAAAATGTCTGTGTCGGTATGGTTCACTTGCACTATTCATTCAACAAACATTTAATGAATAACCTCTAAGGGCTAGGCACGGTACTAGGTACTGAGTTTAAAGTCAGTTCTACAAATACTGCAAGAATCAGCCAAATAAAGTCTTCAAGAATTCTACTGCCTACTCATGCCCCAGATGAACTCTGCTGCTACTTCCTGTTCCCCGGCTTTGGGATGAAGATTAGAGTGGAATGTGTTGTTCTTTTCAAAGGTACTGCTCTCTAATCTTGGCAGGGGAAAAAATAGTGAGGAGAGAAAGAGGCTAGCCATCTAGATTTACTTTTTTTCTTTTTTTTTTTTTTTTGTCACTTCAAATACTGCCAAACTCCCAGTGACTTCTCAATAGATGTCTGCTATCAAGGGACTCACAAAAGACGATTAAAACGTACAGCAGTCCTTCAAAAGGCCTGCCACTCAGGTCCAAGCACCGGGTCCCCAGTCTCATCCAAAAGACAGCGAGCACTGCACTCCATGCCTGACAAAGTCATTTACCTTTTAAACTTAAGACACTGGATTCTATTGTCATATTCCCAAAGTCACACAAGTAGAATGTGTTCCTTCTCTGTCACAGCTTAAAACAAAACACCCAAAAGTGAGGATGAGATGCCTTTTTTGCAGATTAAGTCTTAAAAGTTCTTTTAGACTTTTTTTAAAAAAAACTGTTTGTTCTGAAACCAAATTATACACGTTTTGCTTCCCAAATCACTGAGAGAGAGGCTTGAAAAGGCCATGGAGTCAAAGGGCATTCTATTAGAGAGTTGAGATTATATGAACCAATTTACTGTTTGAATGGTTAAAAAAAGACATTCAAGAGATGGCTTTAAAAAATATAAGAAGGGTTGTCAAAGAAAAAAGATGTCTTGCAGTTTAGAAAAATCACTAAGTAAAGACTGTCAAGCTTTAGCTCAAGACAAGGACTTCTGCCAATACATCAGCACGTCTGTCACAGGGTGATGTGATATTTAGTGTTCCATGTGGCATTTTACAATCTTTACATGGCTGAAGCAGCAAAAGTTTTATTATTATTTATATAGAAGAGCTTACAGAAASACCCTGCCCTTGAGGTAAGGCAGCGCAGAAGGGTCTCATCTGCAATTAGTGGTCTGGGGACAGCATTCACGGGAGCCTGGTCAGTGCAAAGCTGGTGGCAGTGAGAAGCAGTTTCTACAAAGAATTTTAAAGCCGAGGTATAAATGCAATGTGGACAATAATGAAGCAGTCTCAGGAAAAAAAATCAGGGATGTAATCCTAAGAAACATCTTATAAGACACTTGAAAGGCCTTCCAGACTTGCAAAATCAAGGAGAAAATTACTCCTGTGAATATTTAGAAAGCAAATAAATAAATAAAATCTGGGAGAGCAGCCTGAGAAGATGAAGAAAAATTGACTGTCCCAGCATAATGCTTCAATAAAAATCATATATTTTTACATACAGTCTAGTTTACCTATTGATATGATTCTTCCCCCAAATTGCAGTATCCTGCAACTTCATGAAGGAGTACAAGAAACCATAGTAGTTTTCCCAACTCTAACAGAAATGAGAAAATCAAATCTTATTTAGTTGACCAGTATTTATTAAAGATCTATGTGAAAGGTAGTGTAAAGTCACAAGGTGTACGAGAGAACCCCTGTTCTAAGGTAGTTTAAAAGAATAAGATAAGTACAAGGCAGCATGTGACAGATGCCCCAGGAATCCTGTATATCGAGGCCTGGAGCAATATTAAGGGCTGGGAGAGGACATCCTGGGAAGCAGGCCTGGAGGAGGGGAGCAGTATCAGACACAAAGGTTAGCTCACCTGCCACTTATTGGAAGCAAAGCACCAAAGCAGGAAATGTGTTCTGTTTGCAGAAAAGCAATGCAGTTCTGTGACCACAGGTGAGGACAAAGTCCCTGGAAGACAGCTGCCCACCACTTCCAAAAGACAGAGAAAAGATGGTGGACTTGAAGTTTCAAGTTTTGAAGACAACAGAATGGAATGAATCGGGCCCAGCTGGGCATGGTGGTGCGGCACATGCCTGTAATACCAGCGGCTTGGGTATTACAGGCTGAAACAGGAGGATTGAGAGTGCAAAGCCAGCCTCAGGAACTTAGCAAAGCCCTAAGCAACTCAGTGAAACCCTGTCTCTAAATAAAATACATGAGGCTCAGTGRTTAAGTACCCTGGTATGGGGTTGGGGGCGGGGGAAGGCCAATGAGACATTGGGAATAATAATCAAATGGAGGAGAAAGAGAACCTGGAATTTTATGCACCAGTTCAAGAATGACGCCATATTCTCTCACTTTGTCATCAAGCCAGAGGGGCAGAGCAGAGCCGCCGCCGGTGCCCGGAAAAGGCCCAGCGACCCACGGCGTGGTAGTCATGTCACCCCAATTGGAGTAGGGGCAGAGCAGAGCTGCCGTCCGCGCCCAGAACAGGCCCAGAAACCCGCCAGCATGGTATCACGTCACCCCAATTGGAGTAGGTGCAGAGCAGAGCCTCTGTCCGCGCCTGCAAGGTAGGCAGACCTGCGAACGACCGGCAGAACAGACCCAGCGGCCCGTCAGCATGGTAGACAGATCACCCCAATTAGAGGAGGAGCACAGCCACCGCCACCCCTGCAAGGGAGACTTTTCAACTATACAAGAGCAATATAAATATATAGGGGAAAAATTTCAAAAACACAACAGTTACACCAAGCAGAAAGAAACGCGAGCAGTATGAAAAGACAAGGAAAGAAAGGACCACAAGCAATGCAGGTCAACTCAACTTTAGAAGAGGTAATAGCTGCA